TTTCTCTTGCAGAGTTATTTAAAGCATACCTTTAATCTTGGGAGCTATTCTGCATGGATTATTGAGTTTCATGTCTGCAGGCTGTAAATTCTTCTCTCGCTGTGATTTCGGCCTGATTGGGCAATGACAGTCATTTCCGTATCACGTTTAAAATTAATGAGATGTCCATTGATTCAAATGAGTTCAATTAACTTATATCAATTGAATCATTGCTTTCCCCTGGGATGCTTTGGCCATCATTTCCAGTGGAGGTGATTCTGTCGCATTAACCGCTTTGTATGAGTAAATATTTGGCTTTTTGCAACTGCATTATACTTCGGCACATCTTCAGGAAGTGACTTGTAGTTTTTTTGATGTAGAATTCTTTTGTGATTTTTGTCTTTTATCAGCAGGGCACTGTTTGTCTGTTCTCACACTGATTTTATAACTGTGGTTTGGATTACTCCTTGTGAGGCTTGTCACTTGTGTCTGCAGAGTGCGTCTTATAAAGTGAAAAGGTTCTGTTGGTCTCCTGTGATAAGATTGTCCTTTTCCTCTCAGGACTTGTCTCAGTATCTCCTTGATTTCTGCTTCCAGCACACATTCAATGGCTTCCCCCAAATTCAAATCATCTTTGGACAGTAATAAATTTGACAAACTCATCAATCGTGCCAACAACAATTCTGTCTGTTATGAATTCTGATCTCAAAGCTACATTGTCATAGTCTTCTACTAATCTGTAGAGGTCATTAATGAAATTAGCTATCATTTACACTTAACACTGAACTCTTCTGTTAAATCTGCCCTTTCAAGAATTTTCTTTGTTCTCAGATTAAAGTAATTATTTAAAGCTGTTAGAATCTCTTCAAACATATGTGTGCTTTCTTTTACATTTTTGTGACTTATAACATCATCCGTTGTCAGTCCTGTTCAATGTGGTACTCACTTGTTCAGTTTGAGATTTAGTAGTTAATTTGGAAGCAATTCAGTATTGTAAGAACTGTTTTCTCAATGAAGCCTAAAGCCATGTTCTCTTTAGTTCATTTCCGACATTGTATCTTTGAGGTAGAATTATTTCTCCTGCCGTTGGTTGAGTCATAGGCACAGAAACCAATCCTTCAGTCCAACTTTCCCATGCCGACCAAATATCCTAAATTAATCCAAATCTATTTATAGAGTCATACAACATGGAGACAAACCCTTTGGTCTAACCAGTCAATGCTGAATGTAATACTGAGCTAAACTAGTCCCACCTGCCTGCTCCTGGCCCATATCCTCTAAACACTTCCTATTCATGTACCCATCCAGATGCCTTTTCAATGATGTTATGATACCAGCCTCCACCACTTTCTCTGGCAGCTCATTCCATACAAGCACCACCCTCTGCATGATAAAGTTGCCCCTTAGGTCTCTTTTATATCTTTCCCCTTTCACCTTAAACCTATGCCCTCTAGTTTCAGACTCCCTTACCCTGGGGACAAGACCTTGGCTATTCACCCTATCCATGCCCCTCATGATTTTATAAACCTCTATAAGGTCACCCCTCAGCCTCTGACATTCCAGGGAAAATAGCCCCAGCCTATTTAGCCTCTCCCTATTGTTCAAACCCTCCAATCCTGGTAACATCCTTGTAAAATTTTTCTGAATCCTTTCAAGTTTCACAACATCTTTCCTAAAGGAGGGAAACTATTTTAAAATGTATTAAATCTATCCTAAATTTGCAGCATTTCAATGCTATTTGTGATCTGCTGGTTTTTAAGCTTTTGATGTCTCAATGTTGCAATGTCTTTTTAATTCTCTTATGTTCAAGTCTCTTCAGGCATTTAAACTCTATTATAACAATACTTCTTTCTCATATCATCTTTCTAATAAAGCTTCAAATATGTTAAATAGCAAATATGTATCCCTGTACTGCTTACTGGAAGCTTTCCTGCCTTTTGAATGAAATAAAGTGGTTTCCAACTTCGTGCAGTTAAAATGGAGGCCTTGCCACCTTCTGCAACTTAATTATTTTTTCTACTACTTCCTTGTTAAAGTTATTTTCTCCCTATCTTTTATGGTCTAATACACAATGCATGCCTCTGCCCAATTTTTGAAATAAATCTATGTGGTTGTACTCATTATTTTAAATTACTTCCCAATGTCTTTAAAACCATGTAATGCTCTTATTCTGTCAGATGCCTCCTTTTAAATCTTTTATTTTTCCCTTTTATCAACCTAAGTTCTGCTTTACAGCATTCCCAAAGCTGCAGATTGACATTATTTATTTACTCATCTTCGCCTTCACCGTTACAGCCATGCCCTGTCTTGTGCATTTGCTGTGATGGCAACACTTGCTGTGAATAGTGAGCGTTCCTTTTTGACTCGATCCTTGCCATCTAATCCTTTGCACCATTAATTTATTTTCTTTTAACCTTTCACTTTATTCATGAAGTTCTGAAATGGTTACTTTCCAGCCAAATCTTGAATATGAGCACGTCTATAGATCTTCCTTCTCTAATGACTTTATGTTTGTCTTACTAGCCCACTATGTCTTTCCTGCACCTCTTACCAGCTTTTGAGGTGAATGCTTCCTTCTGGAATGCTGCTTTTTTGAATTGCCGTTCCTTCTATAAGTTCTGCAGACTGCTTCTGTTACTGAGTGTCTGAGTATTCCTAAAGCAGTAATGTTCTCACTCATCTTCCCAAGTCAACTAGATAATTTTCATCATTGTTACCTTGACTGATTTAAGCAATGATCTTGACTGCTCATCATCATATGTGGAACCAACCTTTGGCAGCTTGTGGATAGGATTAAACTCTGCCACCAATCCTCCTTTCTATATTGAGTCTAAGGACCTGCTTGTAGGTGAACCATTCACAAATTTTAAGAAGCAAAGGCATTTGTCTTAACAACACAGTATAGTTTATTGCATGATAGCGACTGTGCCTAATGTAACTTCTACAATTCCTAAAGCTAACAGGAGGCACAGATAATCTCTTGACATCTGACCACATCAGGATCTAGAACGGGACTTCCTGTTCTCTGCCCAGGACTGGGTGATATCATCAGACAGGCTGGAGCCTGATGCAGCCTACATCATAAAGCCTTTCAGAACGATTACTTAACACTACACCTTAGAAAGGATGCTTTAGCCTTGGAGGGCGTTCAGCGCAGGTTTACAAGGATGATACCTGGACTTCAGGGGTTAAGTTAGAGATTAGACAAATTAGGCCTTTATTCTGTTGAATTTAGAAGGTTAAGAGGTGACCAACCGAGGTTTTCGGGAATATTAACAGGGAAGTACAGGGTAGATTATGATAAACTATTCCCATTGCTTGAAGATTCTATAACCAGAGGGCATAGTCTAAGAATAGGGCCACTCAGGAGAGATATTAGAAAGCACTCCTACATGCAAAGAGAAGTGGAAGCTTGGAACGCTCTTCCTCAAACAGCGGTCGATGCTAAGTCAATTGTTAAACTTAAATGTGAGAGAAACAAATTTTTATTAAGCGAGGGTGCCAAGTGATATGGCCCAAGGCAGGTATATGGAGTTAGGTCACAGATCAGCCTTGATCTTAGTGAATAGTGGAGCAGGCTCAACGGACTGAATGGCCTGCTCCTGTTCCTGTTCCTATGATCCTACTTAATACAGTAATTTGTCATAGAGTCATAGGGTTGGGCTTTATAGTTTTTACAAGGTGAGGTCCACTCACTCCTGACTCCTGGTCTTCTCAGTTTGGACAGCCAGTTAGTGCTGCAAAGTGGAGAGCTCTGTGGCCAATTAGGCATCTGCACCAGGAGCCCAGGTGCAAGTTGGGGGTGGGGGGGGGTTAAGGCTGTAAACGGGAAATCAGTCTCAGCCATGACTTGTGAATGATTTGTCCCTTGTACCATCTGTCACACTTCATTTCATTATGTTTAGTGTCAGAAACAGGAGGAAGCCCATTCAGCCTCTTGAGCCTATTCCACATTTAATTAGATCCTGACAGATATGTAGCTTAACTCTATCATCATATCCCTACCAATCTCACTTTTGAAATTGTTTTAATTGACTCAGCCTCAATAGCACTTGCAAGGGAGAGTTTGGGATTTGCACTCCCCTTTTGATGAGGGAGTGCCTCCTTACCACAGCAGGATGGCCTACCTTTTATTTTTAGGTAGTGCCTCTGTTTTGGAGTTCCCCCCGCCAGAGCATTATGGACCAGATCAGACCTGACCCCTTCAAAATGTATTAAGATAGCCTAGACCCTACCCTTTTTTTATTTTAAAGGCAAGTGCCAGGCATTGCATTCTGGATGCAATTCGAATGGTCAAACTACCAGATTTGAAGTAAAACACACTTTATTCATGCATTATAGTTAAAAGACAACAAAAGGAAGAGGAAATTGGGATAACAACCCTATTGGAAAACTTAACAGAATAATAGATTATTTAACTACTAAACAGTAGCTGTTCCAATATAGTAACATCCCATAAACACACCCTTGGCAAAGCCAAAGTCAATAAAATAGATTGTCTCACACGCAATTCTAGCTGCGCAGGAGGAAAAACATCAAGAGAAAGCTTTGAGAGACAGAGTAGCAGGGGGAGATGTACTGTAGCTTCCAACCCTGTTTAGACCCCTAGCAACAACTACTGAAAGCTAAAACTAAAAAGTCCTGGTTCTGAGGCAACTTGACTACACCATTCAGGCTGCTTCTATTGTTCCAAAAAACCAAAACAAAGTGCACCTCTTAAGGCCAAAGTATTATCACAAGAGGAAGTCACTTCTTTAGTAATTTAAAATCCATATTCTTAAAAAAATAAAGAATCGTTGTCCTGCTTTGAAGACTTTGAAGTTATTTTGTGTTTCAGCCTGTAGTTTAGGTACAATCCAAACCAATCTTCAGGATAACATTGCTCACACTGTACCTGACCAAACCAAGTAGGTATACCTTCTTTCTGAATTTTGTGTGTTTTGTGATAATGTGTCTGCAAGGCCCTCTCATCATTTTCTTTCCTTGATTATAAATGTTACTGGTTGATTCAGCCTAGGAATTGAAAAGATCGCTGGATGTTTGTTGATTTTTTTTTAAAGGACTTTTCGATCAATTCTTTAGAATCGCCTGACGAGACATCTGTAGAGCATGAATCTGAAGATGATCTAAGTGCCTCAAGGACTTCTCTTGAGAGACAATCACCCCATCGTGGCAATACCACAATGCACGTTTGCTGGCACAGAAATACTAGTGTTTCAATGGTGGATTATAGCATTGCTGTGGAGGTACATGCCATCTCAAAATAAAACTGTACATCTGACTCTCTCTTGACAGTGTGGCACATACAGATTTCTATTTTAATAAAATCAATGAATTCCATGGCCATTCAATAAATCCTGTCTCCAACACCATGCTTTCAAAGTTCCGATGAGCAATGGGGTCCAGGCTTAAGATATTGGGGTGGAAATTTGATTGAATAGAAATATTCAAAAAAGGTAGGAGGGTTGGTGACACAGATTTGAGGCTATTGGCAAAAGAAGCAGAGGAGTGGATGAGAAATACTCGCATGCAATGAGTTGTGGTCTGGTGTGTGCTTTCTGAATGGAAGACGGTTCGTGAGGGCATTTCAGAAAGGAATTAGATAAATGCCTGGTAAGGAAAAGATTTTGCAAGTCCCCAGGGAAAGAACAGGGTATAGGTCTGAAGTGTATACTCTTCACAGGAGCCAGCACAGACTTGGTGATTTGTAGGCCTTCTCCTGAGCTAAAATGCTTGATTCTGTCATCCTCCATCTCAATCACATTTCTGGCAAGGTAACATTTAGCAGACAGGGAATAGCTTATCAGAATTTTCCAGCCAAGAACTTAGCATTATTTTAGAATAGATGTCTCCTTTTGTTTTGTATTGAATTGTCACCTGAGGTGACTCATGTTGACCAAACGACACTTGTTGTGTGGCAGCGATCAGCTCAAAATACTTGAATAGTGATGATGAGGTAGAATAGAAGGACAATTGATAAAGTTTCAAACATTATAAACATATGCCACAGACACTGAACTGCACCAGCCACATAAATGCTATGGTTTTACAGTAGGTCAGAGGCTTGGAATACTGTGGTGAATAACTTGCCTCATGACTCCCCACAGCCTGGCCACCCAATACAAGTTGGGAGTTGCATGAATATGTGCAGCTCCATCAACACTCCAGAAGCTCAGCACCATACAGGACCTAGCAACCCATACAATTCACCACCAGGAACTCATCCCCCACCTTAAACATTCACTCACCCGACCGTCGACTCACAGTGACAACAATGTGTACCATCTGTAAAATGCACTACAGCAACTCACACTGGCTCCTTTGGCAGCAACCTTCCAAATCTCTACTAACTAGAAGGGTAATAGCAGCAGATGCATGGGAACAACATCACCTAGAAGTTCCCCTCCGAGCCACACACCTTCCTGACTTGGAACTATGGCTTTGCTGTGGCTGAATCAAAATCCCGGAATTCCCTGATCTGCACTGTTGGTGTACGGGCACCATAATGACAGCAATGGTTCAGGAAGGCAGTTCACCAACCTATTCTCTAGTGCAACTGGAGATGGGTCATAAATGCTTGTCTTGCCAGTGATACCCACATCCCCAGATTGAACAAAAATCTAAACTTTGTTACTTGTCAGAATTTTTGAAGTTTGCAGTTGCTAAACCCAGAGTGGAAATATCCTGCATCGCCAGTATTGAGTCTGACGCAGAGCTGAAGGTGATTTTAAAAATGATTAGGAATAGCTTGGAAAAAAAGAAATTAACACAGCACGTGAAAGAAATAAATATGTTATGATGCAGTTTTCAGCTTGCTAAACATTAAACATTTCAATTGACCAAAACTGTTGGGGTTTACACAAAAGCAATATGTGGCACATACTGGAAATCTGAAATAAAAATATAAGTTGATTGAAGTGTTCAGTGGGTCAGGTGGAATCTGTGAAGAGAAATATAGTTAACATTTCAGATTGAGACAACTGTTTGAAAACTTGTCAACCTCAAACCAATTCAGTTTATTGGTCTGGGGACTTTTGTCTAAATGTGGGCAACCAGTCTTTCAGTTCCTCCTTCCTTTGATTTCGTTTCACCCTTGGGTTCGACCCATTCGAGCTTCATTTGGTCTTTCTGTCTAAGAAGCTTGTGGCACTATTGTGACAACAGACCTTTCCTGGTTATCTCAGTCTGAAACATTAACCTGCTCACCAGATACCCGTTGAGAAATTTCAGCATTTCTTCATTTTGTTTTTATTGATTTACTTTTGTGCAGTTAGAGAGGAGGGTATTTACGGCATTTTCTTTTACCGGTTTGAGTGCGGAGCACTCATGCATCCTCTAGACCTCAGTTTGTTTTTGTTTGAACAAACATCTTTGCCACTTAAACCAGTGGAAGTAAGTTTTCTGATCCAATGTGCTTAGCTTTAATAATTGACATCCCAGGGACCAAATAAACAGAGCAGGGAATATTGAATCTAGCTGGAAGAACTCACTTGGATCTTTACCTGTCTGAATAATCTGGTTTCTGTGGAATTCAGCTTGTGATTGACCTAATTTCCCCTTCTTTTGGGAAAACCCTCTCCTGCTTTCTGGAATCGCACTGGTGTACATTATTTGTGTCACATTTTATTTGTTTTTCCTGCACATTAGCAAAGTTAATCTCTCTGCCACCAAACATCTGAATGTCTTGTAGTCTTTAATATCATCCTTTCTTACGGCACCTCCTCCACAGTATTTCACCATTCCTGTCTCTTCTCTTCTCTAGCTAAACCAATATTACTTTAAGAATAATGTGACTACTTCTTTAAACAGAGAATATGCTATTTGCACATAAGGTCATTTTAAAAGGCTTCTGAAGTACCTGGTCCTCACTTAATTATCCAGAATGTTGTTCCATTTCTTTACTCTTCATCTGGAAAGAAAATTCTTGCTAAACAGCAACAACTTGCATTGACATTTCCCGAAGTGCTGCACAGGAGCATTGGCCGGGGTGGGGGTTGATTAGCTCAGTTGGCTGGATGCAGAGTGACGCCAATAGCACAAGTTCAATTCCCGCACCAGCTGAAGTTACCGTGCAGATCCCACCTTTAAAAATCCTTAACTTTCGCCTAAGGTACAGCGACCCTTAGGTTAACTTGCCACCTGTTGTCTCTTTCAGAGAGAGTAGCCCTTTGGGACTACGGCAACTCGATCTTTACCTTTTGTAAAACAAGGTATGACATTGAGTCACACAGCAGATATTAGTTCAGACGATCAAACGTTTGGTCATTGAGGTAGATTTGGAGCCGCATCTTAAAGGAGGAAAATGAAGCAAAGAAATGGAGAGGTTGAAGGCAGAAAAGATCAGGTTTAGGTCTTGGGCAAATGAAGGCATGGCCACCAATTGTGGACCAGTTTAAAATTTGGAATATTCAAGAGATCAGAATTAGAGGAGTAGAGGCATTTCGGAAGTTAGTAGGGTTGGAGGAGATTACAGCGATATGGAGGATAGAGCCCTTGGATGGAACTGAAAATGAGGAGAATGTTAAAATCAAAATGGAGCCAGTCTAGATGATTGCCAAGACACCTTTCTTACGGCAAAAATGTGACGACAGACTCTTGGTCCAAGTATCACACTATCTTTAAGTATAACCTGTTTCCTGTCCAAATTTGTATTCAAGCTGATGTCTGTCATGCTTAGGTGCTCAAAATTGTCACTGTTGGTTTTAACAGGTGTAATATTTAAAACATTTTTGGCATATCCTTGAATGCCACAAACACAATGGGAATGTTACCCATTTAACATGGTAGCTAAAGAATTAGGATAAGAATTGGACATGTATTTGCTGATGTTGGTAGGTTGACCTGATACAGATGGGTAGCATAGAATTGCTTTTACTTGTGGATAAAAGACCTAAACTATGTCATAATTATAAATATTATAACTATATATTAAATTATAATTATAAATATAAGGTAATATTCATTAATATTCCCAATCAGGAAACATTTTCTTACTAGACAGTGATGAGAATTTGAGATGAAGAGTATGTATGTATTTAAGGGGAAGCTGTATAAGCACACAAGATAGAAATAGAGGAATAGAATAATATGCTGATCAGAGTCAGAGAAGAGTGGAGAAAGAACACTCGTGTGGAACATAAACACAAGTTAAACCAAATGGTCTGTTTCTGTGCCGTAACATTGCTAAATAACATTTGTTGGCATAAATTTTGTGCATGGCACAGATCTAGCAACTTATGTGCGACAAATAATTGATGTGGCCATTTAGTATCTTGTTCCAAAAAAGAATTGCATAGACAGATTAAAATCTTGTGATAAACCCTTAAGGTAAAATTGGTTTGGCTCCTATTTAAAGCATTTTATTTTTCAGGCATCCTTTCAAGATCTAACTCGTCTTGTTGCACAGGTGGAGATGTTTGTGTGGAAATTATAAATAAGGTTGCCAACTCTGTTTGACCATATTCCTGGAGGTGTTTTTACATGGCCTCCTGACCTCCTCCACCCACCATCTGAACTGACCAGCTAACACGTGACACCCAGCCTTCCCATGGCCAATCAAAATATGTGCCATCTCTTCCTCACCCATTGGATGATTCAGTAAAAATGGCTCTTCTTGTCCATTTCCAATGGGCTTTCTTTAAATGAAATAAGCAAATGATTTCAAAGAAACGTTTGTCTAAAAAAAAGACACCAATATTTGTTTTCCCCTTCAGGCAACTTCAGGACAACTCTAGAGTGTTGGCAACCCAATTTGCAACTCACAAAGCTGTTTGTCTTCTTACTCCCTACATCATTTACAGTCTGTCTGTCTTCTCTCCCTTTGTTCTCGTTGTCTTTCTGGTGTGATAGAAGAAGTCTCCACTGTTATTGATTCTGCTTCCTCTCTCCCCTCTGGACTGGTCAATAATCTCCGGCCTCTTACCATATCTCATGTCTGCTGGTATCGAGTGCAGAGTCTCTCCTTTTATGATTACATCAGGATTATTGAGGTAACAGTAACAATAAATTAAGCCGGCCAACTGCCGAGCACTTGGATTTAACAAACCGGGGTGCAATTAAATGGCAAAATCTTTTGTTCTGCTGGCTTTTGAAACATGCTGTAATAGCTTACGCTGTCAAAACACAACTGGAAGCTCAATAACAGAGTCAGGCTGAATTGAAATTTCCTACTAATTAATTTTGAATTTTAGCAAGAGGCCGGATATAGGTTTTTGGAAATGCAAGGAATTTAAATTTAGTGTTGTTTCATGAAATGGAAGCAGCATTTTATTTTATGGACTATTTGCTGATATTAATCATAATTTGCCTGTCTAGGCTTACATTAATATAGTGCCTTGAATGTAATAGAATACTCATAGGTACTTCACTGGAGCATTATAAAACAAAGTATCACATCAGGCCACAAAGGAGGTGATAGAACAAATGGTAGAAGTTTGATCAAAGAAGTAGGTTTCCAAGATATGCCTTAAAGGAGAAAACTGAAGTAGATGAGCTAAAACGTGTATCAAGGTGGTTCTAGAGCTTGGGCCTTGTGATTCAAAGATCAATTTAAGTAAGTTACTTGAGGATTCTCACTGACTTAAGGAGGTAAATCACCCTTCGTTATATTTTTCTAGGAGTTTGATTTGTTTCTGCAAACATGATGAACAGTTCAACTTATAGTGGTTAAAAGTTGCAATATTGTGAAATTTTAAAATGTTAAGTGCCCTATTTGGCACAAACACATTTACGCCATCTTATACCACGATAAATGGGCCCTTAGAACCTTAAATGAGAAAACAGGATAACTTCATAAGGATTTCAAAACTCCACTGACTCCTGGCAACAACATGTAATAGAACAGTGTAATCTAGTTAAAAACATCTTTCCTTTAGTTTCCTTCAGTTAAATGTTGTGAAGTCATAGAATCTTACAGCACAAGACTGTTCAACCCAGTATGTCTATGCTAACTCTTTGAAAGAGCTTTCCACTTAGTCCCAATCTCCTCTCTTCTTCCTTAATTCTGCAGTTGCCTCTCCTTCAGGTATTTATTGAATTCCCTTTTGAATGTTATTATTGAATCTTCTTCCACTGTCCTTTCAGGCAGGATATTCCAGATCATTGTAGCCTAAAAAGAAAACCTCTTTCTCTCTCTTCTGTTCTTTTGCTACTTATTTTAAATGCATGCCCATTGGTTTCTGTCTGTCCTGTCATTAGAACCAATTTATCTCTGTTTATTGTATCAGAGCTCCTCATAATATAGAAGATCACTGTTAAGTCTTCCATGAATTTTCTCTGGTCTAAAAAGGAAATTCCCAATGGATGAGTATTATATATGTTTGTTTCTTTTCCCTTTCCTATTCCCTGTCACCATCCTTAGCTATTTCATAAACTACTGGCAATATCCTGTCAGTAAGATGATGCCAATGAGTGGATACTGGATGGTGAAGGGAGAGAATTTGATATTTCTCCTTCCATTTTTATGGAGACATTAAGATTCCATTCCCTAGCCTCCCATAGCAACAATAGCACAAAATTGAATCTGAGGTTTTTACAGCCTAAGTTGTAGACTGTTGTGCGAAAGTAGTTCTCCTCGCAATGAATGCTCGTGCCTTCATTCGTAGGGTTGTCAAATCAGCCTGGGCATACTCCTGGAGGTTTCACTATATGATCCTTCTGCCTTCAACTGCCCCATTCCCACAATATCACTGAAAGAACTGTGGATGCTGTAAACATAGAAGATAAGAGCAGGATGAGGCCACTCGGTCCTTTGATCCTGCTCTGCCATTTTTGTAGTCCCTTTTTCAGAAATATTGAAGTTTTTTCCTTTGTGTGTAATATCTCTCTCGTGATCACTCTGTAATGTTATGTTTACTTTATGTCATCTTTAATATTCTTTGATGTCCTCCTGCCTCAGAATCAGCTCTCTGGAAACCTGTTGAGGAAATTCAAAAACAGCAACGGCTGGCAAAAGCTTTGGGTGGTTTTTACCAATTTCTGCCTCTTTTTCTACAAATCGCATCAGGTGAGTCACATGCCAGAACTATTTGAGGGGTTAAATGTTGTAAATTTGAGGACATTAGCTTGATATACTACTTTGCACTATTAAAATTACATTGTTGGCTTTGAGATATTATTTTGGAATTATTTACATATAACACAAATTGAAAAATTTTGAAGCACACGGCAATATACAATCCCATTAATTTCTCCAGAAACTTCCTTTGTAGTACTCACACCAGAGAGAATTATCTTTCAAATTTATAGGGCTTACTTAAACTAAGGCTTCAGTTTTCCAACTTGAGAAACTTCCTGGAGCCTTCATAAAACTGATTTTAGACTTTCTCAGCTTCAAGTAACCCCTTCAGGATTTTACCCAAACACTTGTAATCCGGAACTGTTAAACAAAATTTCTTACACTGAGGTAATCTTTTTCTTAACAGTCCTAATTACCTCCCTTTCTTGGGTTTTACACATCCAACTTCAGCCTAGACTTCTGCAAGATGTTGCAACCTGAAACTAAAATGCTTTTTTCCGACCTGAGTGTTATCCCTAAGCTTAAAACAAAACTCCAGAATCGTCTGTCTGAAATTTTTTCAATGTTTTGTTTGCTTAAATATTATCGTCTTCCAAATAGTGCCAAGAGATCTTTTACATTCACCTGAGAGAGCTTACAGGATCTATCTTATCCAAAAAACAGGATTATCTCTTCATGGCAATACAAACCAGCAAGGAAACTCAATCCGATGAGTTTTTATTTGTTCATGAGTAGAAATGAATGTTAACTATTGCCTGCGGACAAACAGAATTTAAAAAATGTCTGTCTTTGTCCAATTGTGTTTCTGATTGTCATGCATCATGGGAAGGCAGAAAGCATTACACTTTTGTTTTATTTGTTTCTCACACTCCTCTCGCCCCTCCTTCTCTTTTTGTTTTATTCTTCTTCCCAGTTTAGTCTCTTCCCACAAAATGTAAACTTCGGATTTATTCAACGGAATGCTCTAAGCAACAGGAGCCAGGCCTTTTTGTGTGTGTGTGTGTGTATGTGTGTGCGTGCTGAAAATCTACCTTCACTGGGAAACCGACTGTCATCAGGTTTTCCCGGGAGTGGGGCTTTAGTTGTTATGGAGATGGGTTTTCCTCTGGTTGGGGCTGAGTGCAGATGGCTTTCAGATACCGAAGGTAGCTGTCCCTCAGGCTGTCGGGTTTGCCGAGCCCATCATTGCACCATAGGGAAGCAAAATATTATGGTGGAGCTGGTATCCGGACACCCAGGGGGGGCAGGGGTAAAGTTCTCTTCTCGAGATTACTTAATGGCAAGAGGAGGGCATGTAGTCATGTACTAGGGACATCCCTCTGTTTGGCATTAGCTCCCTCTGGCTCCAATTCTTCCCCTGGTGAGATGTCCCCTTCCAACATCTTGCTGTCCTCAACATGCACGTGCTCTGAGGGGTTGGTGGTGGTGCGTGTGCTTGATGAACACATCAGGCACCATAAAGACCCCTGCAAGAGGCTACTGCAGAGTATCAGCAGGTCACAGCAAACACTGGACCCAGTGCCCTCAAAGCCCATCATACCCAATCACTTCTAAACCAGATGTGTTGTCCAGCATCAGTAAAGAGGGCATCTGTCATCTGGGTGATGTACGATGCGTAATCTGCCTGTGAGAAACTGGGAGGGCTCCACTGATGAGGGCACACAATAGTGACCACCTGTCGAAAGAAAGAGTCACTGTCTCCTTTGCAGTTATCCTTAGCCATCTACAGGTCTGTACACGTCTGCCTGTATTCAGGGTTGTGCCTCCTTCCTTATACACCTGACCCCTTCTCGGGCCCCTCCAATACCCAGCTCTCTGCCTTTCCCGTACGGCTGCTGTGCTCCTCATTCCCAGTGGCATTGATTTCTGAAAGTGCAGTATCCGTTTCCTTGTGCAGCCTTCTTGAGAGCCAGTTTGTGAAGGATGGAATGAGAACCAATCTTTACTTAGCTATGTTCTCAGTGGACCATTACACGTGTGTCTCTCCTAATGTAGAAGTCCCACAGTGTCTGTATTTCTGATGACACCTTGAACTTAAACTTCAAATGTCCATTAACCTTTGAAAAACATTTTTACTTTCCTTTTAATTGGTCTCATTATTGGTTCAGACATGAACTTATCCCCTTGGGCTGCCCTTGGGGGAAGAAGGAGGGCAGAACACAAGGTGAGCTCGCACTTTTGGCCTTGTGATGTCACACCTACTTTTTTTAAAACCAGCTGCTTCCACTTGAATCCAGCCCATGTTTTGCAAATAGTAAAGTTGCATTCAGTGATGTTTTATTTGTTGCCCTGTGGAAAATGTTGCATGCACTGTCTGTGACTACCCTGTGGACTTTTCCTTAGGACAATCATCCACTAGCAAGCTTGCCATTGCTGGGCTATTCCGTCACCATTCCTGCAGAGTCTGACAATATCCACAAGGACTATGTCTTCAAGTTACAGTTCAAGTCGCACGTATATTTCTTCAGGGCTGAAAGCGAATATACATTTGAAAGGTGAGGCTTTCCTGTTGAAATTTTGAAAGAGGGTCATTTGTCACTTATGATGCATTTGACCGTAGCTTATCTCTAACTCAAATCTATCTGAACATATTGCAGGGCTTCAGGCATGCCATTTATTCTATTGATTCTAGTTGAACATTTATGTCCTAACTCCTGTACAATGTCTTAAAGCAATTTTACTGTTATAAAGGCACTGTATAAATCCAATTGCTGTTTATTATGCACATTTTTACTTTCATGTGTCACTTTCCTCTTCACAGATGGATGGAAGTGATAAGAAGTGCTACCAGTTCAGCCACCCGTACTCGCCTTTTAAGCCGCAAGGAATCTCATGCCTACTGATCACAAGGGGAGGAAGCCCTTTTTAAACCAGATTCAGTCATCACACAGCTTTTTGAGCGGAATCCTTTCTGAAAAGCTTATTGAATAACTAAACCACCATGCCAATATTGCAATTCAATCTATTTTAGGATTACAAAAATAAATCAAAATGTGCATTTTTTTTTTCTGCTGCCCCTGCCCAGCAAACCTCACTTTATTCCAAAATGGGGCCAAAAATATGTTCTGCCCAGAGTTAACTGAGTTTATGTATCACCAATATTGTGTAAAGCTTAGACCTGAACAGGAGAATTTGAAAAAAATGCATATCTAATTCAACCCTGGGATTTCAGTTTTCTGAAAATCTAATGCAAGCATAAACCATATTTGACAAACTAATCACTGGTACTGTATGCATTTTAAAGGATTCAACTGTATTGTAGGTGTGGCACTAATGTTTTGAATTGATTGTGATTTACAATTCTTTAGTCTAAGACAATTTAGGTACTGATTAATACAGACTTTGACAATCAATACCGTTGCTTTGGAATAAGTTTATCTTTGTCATCGCTTTGATTCAAAGAATCTCTCAACTTTACAAAAGCCCAAGGTGTTACACACACAAATGACTTGAATTACTCCAGACACTCCACTGAAGATAATTTTTCTGACAATGTGAAATTGTTGCCATATCTTCGGGTTCAGTTCCAATCCGATTCTTGCAAACGAAAATTAAACCTGGCTAAAAGAAGCTGGGTAGCCATTTGTAAAATTCTACAATTTTCACTTACTAAATTCCTGTTATCACAAGTTGGACTTTTGAGAACAAATTATCCCATTATTACCAAAAGTATACATACATTCATGGTAGAGATTACAACCGAGTAATCTAATATACCTTGGAATCCAGACTCTTAAATATCCCCTAGTCCTGTTATTTATACTCTATCCATTCAACCACATGGGATAACTGATATGATATTCTGAAGCATTCCACCTAGTTTTATGATTTCAGTGCACTGGGAACAATAGCTAACCCTTCAATTGGGTAACAGCATATCATTGAGTACTCTTGCCCCTTTGCCACCACACATCCAACTACCCCAGCCCCCAGCCAGAAAACAACTATAGTGTGGAAAGTGGAACAGGATCCAAGTTGAACCAACAGTGCTCCAAGCATAGAGCCACCAACTTGTTCATGTTTGGTCTGGGGCAGAATTTGACTTGCCTCAACTCTCATATTTCAGAAGTAAATTTCTTATGTGAAATAAAATTAAATATCTAACCTTGTGAAAGCCAGTACTGAATGATGAATTTGACATGTTGGAACTTTTTTTTAAATAAATATCTAATAGGTACTTCTTTTGCGACAAAGACTCCATCAGGTAGGACTGCACTAAGTGAAATTAGCACAAAAGTGCAAAATAATTAAAGCAGCAGATAAGGGAATTGGAGATGGTTACATCAATATGTTTGTGTTAAGACCACGAAGTGCAATGCCACCATTAATGCCTACAACTGTTCCTGTTTTAGCATATTATTGATAACTTTTTTTAAAAATGGCCTGAACCATTTCAATAAACATTATAACTGACAAGTATTGTTGTAGTATCTAACATTTATGGATATCACATAATATGATCACTAGTAAATAATGTTTTATTTCCCTTACCTGAACTGCAAATGAAGTCAGCAGAATTCAGAGTTTTAGTATCAAATAAATTAGCGATTAGATTAATTGGAACAAAATCACTTTCTAGGATTGCTTCAAACTTTACTGTATTCAGTTCTTTGCAGGATCTGACACAAATGTATTGGTCGGAATGCTTCTTGTGCCATGTCCAATGTCATAAACAAAATAGCTAAAACATTCTCGTTAGAAGCCTCCAGTGAAAGAGTAAGAAACATGGTCAAATTGCAATTAAAAATCATGGTCCGCAAGAATCATTGTTCCATCAGCTTTGGGCAGCACAGTGGCTCAGTGGTAGGAACCCAGGTTCGATTCCACCCTCAGGCTGTGTGGAGTTTGCACGTTCTCTCCATGAGTGTGTGGGTTTCCACTGGGCGTTCTGGTTTCCTCTCACAGTCCAAAAATGTGCAGGTTAGCTGGTTTGGCCATGCTAAATTACCCATAGTGTTCAGGGATGTGTAGATTATGGTGCATTAGCCATAGGAAATGCAGGGGTAGAGGAATGGGCATGGGTCTGGGTGCGATGCTCTTCGGAGGGTCAGTGTAACAGTGTAAACTTGATGGGCCAAATGGCCTGTTTCCACACTGTAGGGATTCTGTATTCTGGTCTTATTATGTAGTTTGACTATTTAAAAGATGTTGGGGAAACAAAAGTGAGTGATAACTGTGCACTTGCTGTGCATTCCTGGTATTTCAGGAAAGATGGCACAGTGCATCCGCTGTCTCATGTGATTCAGAACATCCCACACCAATACTTCAAAATGCAGAGGAATTCTTTCCCTGAACCACAATTAATGTTTGTCTTATGACCAACATAACTAAAGTAGATTATATGGATGTTATATAAAAATGATAACATATAGCAAGTTTGTGGAAACTTGCTGTGTGTAATTAGTTGGCTGTAAAGTGTTTTTTCGGTGTCACTAGGTAAGGAAATACACTGCGTATCACAGTATTGATGCCAAAAGCTCAACGCTTCCTCCTTTCTGCAAATCCTGATGATGTGATATTCCAATGCATAAACCTATAGTGCCCTCTGATTGATTTATTGTTAAAATTTTAGAACAATGACTTTTATTTTCCACAAGCCTCTGTCCTCAGGTCTAAGCAGGGCAAGGCAGAAAGTATAGTATACCAACAAATAACATCATTCCCATTACTATATATGCTCTGTAAATCTTCTACAAGTATCTTGTTTTGAAGTAAACTAACTCTTTCCATCAGAATTCATGATTTATTTAAAATCACTTAAAAGCTTACAAGGAATTACAATACATTGTGTAATGACAGAAGCAAGGATTATATACAAGACTATAAACTGTCAGCAATGTTACATAAAATGAAATTTACACTTAATTAGCATCTTTAAGTATCCCGTCATTATTAAACATCTTAAAGGACAGATTTACTGCAATACTAGCTCTTTACACACACATATAAAAATATTGTCTTTTTAATTGAATCACTCCATACATTATACCTGTGTTTAAGAACATTTCCTGATGATCCTACTACTTTATTGCCATTTTATGCACAGAATATAATAATTACAGTTTCCTTTGATTGTGAAGAAATTGGAGTTAACGGGAGAGAATAGGTACAAAACTGTGACTCATGTACCATGTTTTCATTACTAAAAAGAAATTCTTTTAAAAGTGCAGCCAAATACACACAAACCAAAATAAGGATGTAATGACATTGGAAAGTGCAGCTCAAGACCACAAGAAAGAGCGCATAATGAGTCATGGCACTTGTTATGCAATCAGCGATAGCTTGAAGCTTATAATTAGTAGACAGTGCCGAATGTCACCTTTCTTCTTTAACTAACCAAACATATAGTGCAAACTAGTAGAAAATATCCACCTTAAAAAAAAATAACTTAAGATCAGAATGCTAACAGTACATTCAAGTTACTGAGATTTTCTGTTTAACAGGTTTTACATGAATGGATCTATAATCAGTACCTCAGTTATGACTATTCTGCAAATAGGAACTTTCAATTTAGCCAACCATTACTGGTCACAAGTGCATTTCTCTTTTAAACTAGATACAAAATCCAAAAATTGAGAAACATTTCTAAGTAGCAAATATGATCTCACATTTTAACTGACACTTCTGTTGACTGGACATATTCATAAAATGATACACCGTCAATTTAAAAAACAGATCAGCAAGAGTGCTTAACATGGGGTGGGAATGCCCAGCAAAACTGTGGTGAAATAATCTTATGCAGAATGAGTTGGCTGTCTGACTTAGCCAGTAAGCTTCACAACCTGTAACAAGAATACCAAACCCTAAATTGGAATGCAATCTTAACAGATTCAGCTGTCTGCTTATGACATGAAGACATTTTTAAAGCTACATTCTTAAAAAGGTACATAAAAGTATGATTGCATTTCTTTTTAACATGTTAGAATTGGGGCAAAGTGTAATATTTTAAAGTGCTGTATTTACAGAAAGAACAAGCTGCCTCATACTCTTGTACTTCACTGGTGTTTATATTGGCACAACTTTTAATATAAAGTTGCATTTCGGTCAGATTTCTAACTATCCCAGATCATTTAGAGCTGCATGAACAGCTTAGTGGCAATCACAAGGGACACTGCAAAACAAGGCTCTTTTCAGATACGCTGAATAGCTTGGAAAGCTTATTCTGCCACAGGTGTTTGATTAACAGCAGAAAATCTTCAGTAATCCCAAGTAGTAGCAGGTTCCGACACATATTTAAAATGTTTCAAGCACGTGATGGAGTAAAAGGTTTAATTACCAGTTATTCACAGAAATTCAAAGATTGCACTTGTGAGCTGCTAAAAGAATGCTATCAATATCAGCAACCTGAAGACTGTCTAAAACTCAACTTTCATTGTGTGCTGGAATTTCTAATATTCAAGTCATACAATTCTGAAGTATATCTCTTCATTAATGATGAAATAAAACAATGTACTGCTTATTCCTCAAATTTATTTAAATTCTAAGATAAATAATGGTGCAATTAAAACAAATCATAGGCATGCCTGCAGATTTAGATATTTCTCATCCACATCTTCATAACACCTCCCCATTCTAACAACACTCAACTTATCCCTTAGCTGTCACAATACAAGATATCAAACTTCACTTCCAGAATGGGTATAAGTAACTCTTCATAACAAATTTCAAAAACAAAGAACTATTCTTACCTTTGAACTTTGAGATCAGCACTAAGATTCACAGCTGACTGTTCTAACTGGTCATTCTATCAAAACAATATAGGATGACCTTTTAAAAATTTCTAGAGGAGGAGAAAGGTGAGGGGCTACCCATTAAAGATCTGTAAAGATCAAAGAGAGTATTCCCATATGCGAGGGACACAGAAACTAGCGACCGTCAATATACATATTCACTTAAAAAAAAAATCCAGTTAGGAATTCAGGAGAAACCTCTTTACCCAAAGAGTGTGGTACTCTCTACCATAGGGAGTGGTTGAGGAGAATAATAAGGATGCATTTAAGGGGAAGCTGAATAAATACAAGGGTGAAAGAAATACAAAGGTTATGCAGACAGACGGAGTAGTAAGGATAGGGAGGAGGTTACCATAGAGCATAAGCACTGGTGTGGATCAAATGGCCTGTTCCTATCCTGTAAATTAGCAGCAGTTGTAGGAGCCTTACAGTAGCAACTACGTAAATAGCAGTCACCCACACCAGGCCCTTAAGGCAGATCTGCGTTGTAATTCTGTTGCTTGTACATGTCTAAATGGCTAAGCTGTTGACTCAGAAAATCCTCCTCACGGATAGCAGGGGTAGGATTGGTCCAGATTCAACTAAAGGTCAGGGGAGAAATATCTGGGAGAATATTTCTGCCTGAATTTAACCATGCACTTGACACAGAACCCTGAGGACTCTGGGGATTGATGAGGCACTAACATCAAGTGACCTGCACTTGAAAGAACAACAATGTTGTGGCATTTTTTTTTCTGTATTAAACCATTCTAAAGAACAGACATGACTTCCACATTTTGAAAACAGATATATTCAACCATTCTTGATAACTTTGCTTTTCTGACATTAAGGACAAGGAATGAACGTAACAAGAGATAAAGCAAATCTTCCATTACCTGTAGTGTCACAAACAAGCTATTCTGTTTATTGTGCTTCTTTCTCAGAAACTTTCTTTAGCAAGGCAGATGACAATGAACTGGAGGCATGAAGAAAACTGACGGAGAACATTTCTTAATCTTGCAACCCATGGAAAATGTCATCTACAAGACATAGCATGTAAGCCTTGTGTTCACAGTTTGGGTTAAGTTAAACTTAACCCGTCCTCAGAAAACTAGCAAGGTCAGATTGCAACATTGCTTTCACAGCCTGTTCAGTCAAACTAGACCTTTGAAAGCAATCCCAGCACCAGGACTCTGATCTAACCAGACTGGCCTTCCTTTACACTGCAGTTCTAAGCTACAAAATCAGTTTCAGGTAGAACTCATTTCTTGTATTAGTTGAAAACTGTGCTTCTGCATTGATAAGTCACTAAGTATGAAAGCCTGTAGCTCTTCGGTTTGAGGGAAACTTTTCAGTAAAAGAGTGGGACAATAATGAGTCTCAACTTTTTGGCACACAAGAAATATGATTTGGCCTCTTTGTGATGACATTGTTGAGCTTCCAGGGTCTATTCCCCCTAAAAACCATACCTTCTGTCATTAACCTGTTGCAACTCTCTTATACAAGGTCTGTAAGGTTTGAAGCCACATGCTGGCACACACTTAGAAAAACAGAACAAACTAGCTTTCTGATACAGAAAATAGACTTTTGAGCTAACATGTTTAGAAATCAACAGTAACATTTTTGCAGAGGCTACCCAGTGGCAGCTCAGATCTCGACTGACTTGAAGGGGTCATCAGCAATCGTGCATTCAATAAAGATCTGATAAACTTTTTCTTAAAAGGGACAAAGATCATTCCTGTCGTAGAGTGGGAGGGGCACTTAACTTCAAAGAGCTTAATAAGAAGAAAAATGTGACAACCAGTTACTTTTAGTATTGTCTGGATTACCAGAGAAAGCAAATTAATGCCCAAAAAACCTTGACAGCAATGTTGTTCTGAATTTTTCCAGCACAGTGTAAATGTAACAGTGATGATGGCATTCAGCATTAATATTATCCAGATTTCAAGAAAGATATTTAATTTGGACCAATGTTTATATAAACTAACACGAAAGGTGATGGGGGGAAAGCATATTTTGATGACTTTGAGATGTGAGGTTTTCCAAATTGGGTATTAATTTTTCAAAAAAAAAAAAAATGGCCAGATCTTGAAAATGCTTAAAATAAATGTCACCTGAACATTAACTGAACCTTACAGGAAAGTTAGCAAAGCAATTGGCCCTTTCAGAGAATCACCACAAAACATTGTCTACATAAGCATTCAGTTGCTGCAATTTGTAAAATTCTGTCCTTAATGCACTCTCAGGGTTTTTATCTCAAGTAAAAATGACTCTATATACAAATATATACGAAGCAACAACTTCCTCTCCATCTCCCAGAAAAAATAAACCCATCAACTTAAAGCAGATACTTGATACAGGTGCTGCAGAGGTTTCAGTTCCCATATCTCAGTCCTAAACAGACAATTTGGGACTAAAAACAAAATCAATAGGCATTTCATCCTACTCAAAATTGTGCACTGTGACAGAAATTATTTTTAAAAAAGTTCCTTTAAGCAACAAATGATGGTTCCACTGAGAGACTTCATCTTTTGAAGTTGTATGTCCAGGGCAGGTACTGGTGCCTGGATAACCCTTACAAAGGTTATGGTAAAATGATCAGCCTGAGAGCACCTCCTCAATGCAGATGGCAACGACCAAACATTAACCTTCAGTTGGAAGTAGTAGCAGCCCCACTTAATGAATATCTGAAAGAAGAAGTATTAAAAATACTTTTCATTACAAGCAAATAAATAAAGAATATGATGATTGAAGGAGGTGGAGAGCAAAAGAAACACA